ATGAGTGAGTACATCCCATGTTCCTCTTTTTGGGTCTGGCTTACCTCACTCAGGATAGTGTTTTCTATTTCCATCCATTTGCCTGCAAACTTCAAGAAGTCCTTGTTTTTTACTGCTGAGTAGTACTCTAATATGTATATATTCCATACTTTCTTCATCCATTCTTCAATTGAAGGGCATCTAGGTTGTTTCCAGGTTCTGGCTATTACAAACAATGCTGCTATGAACATAGTAGAGCATATACTTTTGTTGTATGATAAGGCCTCTCTTGGGTATATTCCCAAGAGTGGTATTGCTGGGTCCATGGGTAGGTTGATCCCAAATTTCCTGAGAAACCTCCACACTGCTTTCCAGAGTGGTTGCACAAGTTTGCATTCCCACCAGCAATGGATGAGTGTACCCCTTTCTCCACAACCTCTCCAGCAAAGGCTATCATTGGTGTTTTTGATTTTAGCCATTCTGACAGGTGTAAGATGGTATCTTAAAGTTGTCTTGATTTGCATTTCCCTGATCGCTAAGGAAGTTGAGCATGACCTTAGGTGTCTTTTGGCCATTTGAACTTCTTCTGTTGAGAGATCTCTGTTCAGCTCAGTGCCCCATTTTATAATTGGGTTGATTAGCCTTTTACGGTCTAGTTTCTTGAGTTCTTTATATATTTTGGAGATCAGACCTTTGTCAGTTGTGGGGTTGGTGAAGATCTTCTCCCAGTCAGTGGGTTGCCTTTCTGTCTTAGCGACAGTGTCCTTTGCTTTACAGAAGCTTCTCAGTCTCAGGAGGTCCCATTTATTCAATGAGGCCCTTACTGTCTGTGCTGCTGGGGTTATACGTAGGAAGTGGTCTCCTGTGCCCACGTGTTCTAGAGTACTTCCCACTTTCTCTTCAATCAGGTTCAGTGTGTTTGGACTGATATTGAGGTCTTTCACCCACTTGGACTTGAGTTTTGTGCATGGTGATAGATATGGGTCTATTTTCATTCTTCTACAGATTGACATCCAGTTTTGCCAGCACAATTTGTTGAAGATGCTCTCTTTTTTCCATTGTATACTTTTAGCTCCTTTATCGAAAATCAGGTGTTCATATGTTTGTGGGTTAAAGTCAGGGTCTTCTATTCGATTCCATTGGTCGACTTCTCTGTTTTTATGCCAATACCAAGCTGTTTTCAATACTGTAGCTCTGTAATAGAGTTTGAAGTCAGGGATGGTAATGCCTCCAGACGTTCCTTTATTGTATAAGATTGTTTTGGCTATCCTGGGTTTTTTGTTTTTCCATATAAAGTTGATTATTGTCTTCTCCAGATCTGTGAAGAATTTTGATGGGATTTTGATGGGGATTGCATTGAATCTATAGATTGCTTTTGGTAGAATTGCCATTTTTACTATGTTGATCCTCCCAATCCAAGAGCAAGGGAGATCCTTCCATTTTCTGGTGTCCTCTTCTATTTCTTTCTTCAAAGACTTGAAGTTCTTGTCAAATAGATCTTTCACTTCCTTGGTCAGGGTTACCCCAAGATATTTTATGCTCTTTGTGGCTATCGTGAAAGGTGATGCTTCTGTGATTTCCCTCTCTGTTTCCTTATCCTTAGTGTATAGGAAGGCAACTGATTTTTTGGAGTTGATCTTGTATCCAGCCACGCTACTAAAGGTGTTTATCAGCTGTAGGAGTTCTTTGGTAGAATTTTTGGGGTCGCTTATGTATACTATCATGTCATCTGCAAATAACGAAAGCTTAACTTCTTCCTTTCCAATACGAATCCCCTTGATCCCCTTATGTTGTCTTATTGCTATTGCTAGAACTTCAAGCACTATATTGAAGAGGTATGGAGAGAGTGGACATCCTTGTCTTGTTCCTGATTTTAGTGGGATGGCTTTGAGTTTTTCTCCATTTAATTTAATGTTAGCTGTCGGTTTGCTGTAGATAGCTTTTATTATATTTAGGTATGACCCTTGTATCCCTATTCTCTCCAAGACCTTTATCATAAAGGGGTGTTGAATTTTGTCGAATGCTTTTTCCGCATCTAATGAAATGATCATATGGTTTTTTTCTTTCAGTCTATTTATATGGTGGATTACATTGATAGATTTGCGTATGTTGAACCAGCCCTGCATCTCTGGGATGAAGCCTACTTGATCATAATGGATAATTTTTCTGATGTGTTCTTGAATTCGGTTTGCCAGTATTTTATTGAGAATTTTTGCGTCGATATTCATGAGTGAGATAGGCCTGTAATTCTCTTTCTTGGTTGGGTCTTTGTGTGGTTTTGGTATCAGGGTAACTGTAGCTTCATAAAAGGAATTTGGCAATGACTTTTCTGTTTCTATATTGTGAAATACGTTAAGGAGTATAGGTATTAGCTCTTCTTGGAAGTTCTGGTAGAATTCTGCGTTGAACCCATCTGGTCCTGGGCTTTTTTTGGAAGGGAGATTTTTGATAACAGTTTCTAGTTCTTCGCGACTAACAGGTCTATTTAGATCATTCACCTGGTCTTGGTTTAGCTTTGGTATATGGTACTTATCTAAAAAAATGTCCATTTCTTTTGCATTTTCCAGTTTTGTGGCATACAGGCTTTTATAGTAAGATCTAATGATTCTCTGGATTTCCTCTGTGTCTGTGGTTATGTCCCCCCTTTCATTTCTGATTTTATTTATTTGCGTGTTCTCTCTCTGTTGTTTAGTTAGTTTGGATAGGGGTTTGTCGATCTTGTTGATTTTCTCCAAGAACCAACTTTTTGTTTCATTGATTCTTTGGACTGTTTTCTGTGTTTCTATTTTGTTGATTTCTGCCCTCAGTTTGATTATTTCCAGTCTTCTACTCCTTCTGGGCACCTCTGCTTCTTTTTTTTCTAAAGCTTTCAGGTGTGCCATTAAGTCCCCAATGTATGCTTTCTCTGTTTTCTTTAAGTGGGCACTTAGTGCTATGAACTTTCCTCTTAGCACTGCTTTCATCGTGTCCCATAGGTTTGAGTATGTTGTCTCTTTATTTTCATTAAATTCAAGGAAGACTTTAATTTCTTCCTTCACCCAGGTGTGGTTCAGTAGTTGATTGTTCAGTTTCCATGAGTTTGTCTTATCAGATCACCACGGATTAAAGTTAGAAGGCAACAACAATGCTGCCCCCAGAAACCCGACAAAACAGGGAATTTTAACCGAGACTAACATATAAATGATATTGGTGATATAAAAATAAAATTTAAGAGTTTCCAATAAATAGTTATTAGCCATACGAGAAGAAACTTTAAGTTTTTAAATTGATTTTATTGACCTATATATTTTTCTCTGCTCCCCTCCCTTTGTCTCCCCTCCCCTTCAACACTCTCCCATGGTCCCCATGCTCCCAATTTACTCAGGAGATCTTGTCTTTTTCTACTTCCCATGTAGATTAGATCTATGTATGTCTCTCTTAGGTCCTGATTGTCACCTAGGTTCCCTGGGATTTTGAATTGTAGGCTGTTTCTCTTTGAAAGCAGCTTATGAGCAAGTATATATGATATTTTTCTTTCTGGATCTGGGTCATCTCACTCAATATCATATTTTCTAGATCCATCCATTTGCCTCCAAATTTCAAGATGTAAGTATTTTTTTGCTGTGTAGTACTCCATTGTATAAATGCACCACATTTTCTTTATCCATTCTTCAGTCGAGGGGCATTTATGTTGTTTCCAGGTTCTGGTTATTACGAAAAATAATGCTATGAACATAGTTGAGCACATGTCCTCGTGGCAAGGTTGAGCATCCATTGGATATAAACCCAAAAGTGGTATTGCTGGGTCTTGAGAAAGGTTGTTTCCTAATTTTCTGAGAAACTGCCATACTGATATCCAAATGGACTGTACCAGCTTGCATTCCCACCAGCAATGCAGGAGTGTTCCCTTTGCCCCTCAACTTCTCCAGCATAAATTGTCATCAGTGTTTCTGGCCAGGTGTAAGATGAAATCTCAGAGTTGTTTTTATTTGCATTTATCTGATGACTAAGGATGTTGAGCATTTTAGATTCCTCTGTTGAGCATTCCCGTTTAGGTCTGCATTCTGTTTTTTTTTTTAATTAGATTATTTGTTCTTTTGATGACCAATTTCTTGAGTTCTTTGTATATTTATTTAAGAGATCAGACCTCTGTCTGATGTTGGGTTGGTGAAGATCTTTTCCCATCCTGTAGGCTGTCGTTTTGTCTTGTTGACCATGTCTTTTGCTTTACAGAAGCTTTTCAGTTTCAGGAGGTCCTATTTATTAATTGTTTCTCTCAGTGTCTATGCTACTGGGGTTCTATTTAGGAAGTGGTCTCCTGTGCCAATGTGTTCAAGTGTACTTCTCACTTTCTTTTCTTTGGGGTTCAGTGTGATTGGCTTTATGTTGAGATCTTTGATCCATTTGGACTTAAGTTTTGTGGATGGTGATATAGATGAATGTATTTTCATCCTTCTACATGTTGATATCCAGTTATGCCAGCACCATTTGTTGAATATGATTTCTTTTTCCATCTTATATCTTTTGCCTCTTTGTCAATAATAAGGTGTTCGTAGGTGTGTGTCTTCAGTTTGGGTCCATTGGTCCTCCTGTCTGTTTTTATACCAATACCAGGCTGTTTTCAGTACTGTAGCTCTGTAGTAGAGTTTGAAGTCAGGGATTGTGATGCTTCCAGAAGTTTCTTTATTGTACAGGATTATTTTGGCTATCCTGGGTTTTTTTGTTTTTCCATATGAAGTTGAGTATTGTTCTTTTGAGGTCTGTGAAGAATTTTGCTGGGATTTTGCTGGGCATTGCATTGAATCTGTAGATTGCTTTTGGTAAGATTGCCATTTTTTTGAACAAAAAACAAACAAAACAAAAATCAACTTTATTTCTCCATTTTGAAAAAAGAAAAGAAGGCTCCTATGTGAAAACATGGTTTATTTTCTCACCCAGACATTTGTATTTTACTTTTACAAAATAGCAGACAAAATTTGGTTCTTTACAGTAGTACAGAATATGTGATATTGAAATATATACTATAGCACTTGAATTATAAACACACAGCAAATGCATTATCACTTTACAGCCACCAAGTTTTCCATACATTTAGGATCTCATCAGGAAATAAACATTGCTTTTGGCTTAAATATATAAATAGTCTCTGATGTTCTTTGTAGCTACAAAAGCCAGTCTAAAACTACCACCGTCTACCAAAGTGATAGGCTTTAGAATACAGTTTTGCTATCATGCCATAATAAGACTTAACTACAGGAAGCCAGAGGGATCGATCACTTCAGCGCAGCTGCGGTTGTTCTACTTAACTGTGGCTCAAAGGTGCGCGCTATGGGAGTCCAGAGGCGGCATTTGCCTCGGAAACCCCAGCCGGTGGATTCTTTAGGGTCCAGCATGTTGTGATCTGGGATAGAGTGATGTCCACCAGTCACTAACTATGATAGAGCGAAGCGGCATAGGGGCTTTCTTCATCCCTGCTCTCTTCTTTGAGTTTTCTGGCTGCCTGTGTTGATAGCTTAATCTGCAAATCAAGTCTCTGAAGGAAATCTCTGTCAGACACTTCTTCAGGCTGCGCAGGCCCAGGATCTGGATCCTGAGGACTGGGAGGGGGCAGTTCTTCCCCAGTCACCACAGGCTCCTCTTCATGACAAAAGCTGCTGTCAACAGTTTCCTTTTCTGGAGAATCAATGGAGTTAAGTCCATTAAAGAGCAAAGGCTTCTCTGATAGAATTGGGATGCTCAGAGTCTTCTTCAGAAATATACAGTCATTGGTAAACAGTTTATTGGCCCGTTTAATCTGTTCCATCGTGACTCCGTACTTGAGCGCGATGCCCTGCAGCGTGTCTCCGGCCAAGATTGCCATTTTTACTATGTTAATTTTACCTACCCAAGAGCATGGGAGATCTTTTCATTTACTGGTGTCTTCTTCAATTTATTTCTTCAAAGGTTTAAAGTTCTGAGCTTACTCTACCCTACCATAGGCCAAGGCAGTTTCTTTATTCATTAAGCAATAAAAGCAACACCTGTCCAAAAGGGAATCCCACATCAGTACTGTATTGAGACACAGTGAATTTCATTATTACCATTGTTAATGCTGTGATTACATTTTCTAAAGTTTTCCTATATGTTTGAATAACTAAAATTCCAGCAATAGTATGCATGTATTTATTTACTTTATGTATGTATGTATAAATGATTAGTCACACTATTAATTACTACTGTCAGTGTGAATTGATTGAAGAGAGTAAAGTATTTGTGTAATAGAAAAACACTATATAAAAATTAAACTTTCTGGGGGCAAGTCTGGGACCTCCCAGGGGCTAGGCACGAATCAGAGAGCTCTGCAGGACCAAGCCCAAGCCAGGAACCTCCACAGGAGCAGAACCAGGCCAGGTACATTTACACAAACAGGACTGAGCTAGCAACCTAAGCTCTAACAGGCCTGAGGCAGCAAATGTCACAGGAGTAAGTACAAGGAAGCCACCGCTGAGGGAGCAGGCCATAACCAGAAACCTCTGTCAGATGGGACATGAATCAGCCATCTCTGAGGAAGCAGGCTCTAGCCAGCGATATCCATTGGAACAGGCCTGATGCAGTGATTGCCATCAGAGCAGGCCCGAGCCAGAAACTGCAGGCCCAAGGCAGCAACCTCAGCAGAAAGAACCCAAAAGCAATCTACAGATTCAATGCAATGCCCATCAAAATCCCAGCAGAATTCTTCATAGACCGCATACTCACAGGGTCAATACTGGTAAAAGTGTTTGTTCTGCCAACATGTGGATATGAGTTCAAACCTCAAGCACCCACAAAAAGTGTGTATGTATGTCTCAACAAAGGCAAACTGAATGCTGGGAGAAAGAAGGCGGAGTCAGAAAACACCATGTAGCTGCTGCCTGAAATAGATATGCCTGAACCTTGCCAGTAAACCACAGCCTCATGACGATACACAGATTAATAGAAATGGATTATATTAAGTTGTAAGGGTTAGCCAATAAGAAGCTAGAGCTAATGGTCCAAGCAGCGATTTAATTAATACAGTTTTTATATGGTTATTTTGGGGCTGAGCAGCTGGGAATGAACAAGTATTTTCCTACAACACAGTATAGCAGGGAACACACTCTCAGAGTAAAAGGTTAACCATGTACAGAAGGAGTAATCTTTAATCACCTCTCTCAGGGAATAATGCATGGTCTACTGCTGGGAATCCAAACAAGTCTTAACAAAGGCAAACCTCAGAACGTTAAGCATGCAAAGTAAACACTCTGAGTTCAACTCCCAGTTTATGATCTGAGAATTTTAATTTGAATGTACACTTTTGGGTCATAGTGAAAGTAGATCTTTATGGAGTGTTTTATAAAATAAAAATATCCCATTGTTGAAAACAATAGTTTGAAATAAAGGACAAGTGGATATCAATATGCAGATAAGGTGGGAAAGACAGAAATAAAAAAAAGTTTAGTAAATGTCTCTGATGGATAAGCTACATTTTATAAAATATTCTTTTTATATAGGAGATCATAAGTTTAAGCATATTTTCTACAAGCTTTGGAAAATAAACTATAGAATGGAGTGAATAGTAGAACAGTGGGTTCTAGTATTGGAGAGATATATAATGTTATTTGTTTAGCAGATTAAGTGGCAAATCACCTTTCAAAGGCAAGGCTTCACTTATTATTATCATTATTATCATATTTGACATGCTTCCACAAGTGAATTTGGTAGATATTCAGATCATAATAAATATATAGGAAGACATGGCATGGAAAATAAGATAAATATTAAAATTAAAACTAAGTCACAAATGACAATAAACTAGTTGTAATTCTTTCACTGACAACATGACAAGCGTCCTAGAGAAAGAGGTCAAAATACTTTAAAAATGATCTCCAAAAATGGCCCTATAGACATATAGAAAACAGAGAAAATATGCAAACTTTTACTGGTGTTTGGCTACAAGTGTTAAAGACTGGCACATTTTAACTGTCGTCTACATCCTATCATTTCTTTACCTCCTAACTCCATTCCAGGTGGGTGCATCCAGGGTGCATATTGAGTTCCCTGTTGAAAGCTATGGTATCTCCTCCAAAATGCCAGAACATCAGAAGGTCTCATTTTAATCAACGATAGTTATTACAGAGGCTCGGTTGCAGGGGAGTGGAAGTTCTCTTCTCCCCTCAGCCCACACTTAGGATACACACTCTCTCCTGGTCATAAGACACTGGAATATTGAGGATAGATGATCTTTATCTAAGTTCATAAGGCAGAGTCCCTTTCCAAACAGATCTGATATATATTGACACTCTGTATTTTCTCTTCCTCTAAGAAAAAGGCACCTGATTCTTAAAGTAGCTCCTGGCAAGACAATGGGAGAAGCAAGGTGTAAAATCAGAGATTTCTGATACTGGTCCTAAATCTTCTCCCTGAGAACTACCTTTCATAGTACCAGAAGGTAATACATAAGATGCCAAGGGAGTAAAAGAATAATTGCGCCCAGCTCTAAAGCCTATCAACCACAATAACCAGAATGCAAACTAAATGTGCCTCTATTCTTTATTGTAAAAGAAGATACAAAATATCTTGTCAAACAAGTTTTTAATAAAAATACAAAAGTTTTAATATAGCCGGGCGGTGGTGGTGCACGCCTTTAATCCCAGCACTCGGGAGGCAGAGGCAGGCGGATTTCTGTGAGTTCGAGACCAGCCTGGTCTACAAGAGCTAGTTCCAGGACAGGCTCCAAAACTACAGAGAAACCCTGTCTCGAAAAAAAAAAAGTTTTAATATGATGAGCCATATAGAAATTCTACAGTTGAAAAACAAAGTCAAATGAGAATTATACTAGGGATTCTCAACAACATATTTCAAATGATAGAAAAATGTATCAGCAATACAAAAAAAAGTATCTCTAGCTTCTCGGAGAGAGAGAGTTATTTTTTAAGTAGCTTGGGCTGGTAGGCTGACCTTGCTTCTCTGCATACTCACACACCCAGTAGCATATATGTGGCAGAAAGTGGACTTAACAGGAATTTTAAAAAATGGGGACACAAAATTTGGTGATTAGGGAGAAGGAGAAAATTTGAGAGGATTTGGGGAAGAGACAATATGATCGAATATATTGTCTGAAATATTCAAACGTCAAAAAAATCCAAATGCATTAGCAAACTGAAAAGAGGACTAGTGGATATTATGCTGTTTGGGAAACAAAGAAAATAAATGACTAGAGCCTTGGAGAATGTTGAACTATGATAAGGCACATCGGAATAAACATAATTAGAATACTAAATATAGGGAAGAGAGATGAAAAGAAAGAAAATGTTCAATTATCTATAAACATTCCCTATTGATGACAATTTTGATTTAGATACCTCAGAAACTCCATGAACTCCAAATAGGAGAGTTATAATGAAATGTGTAATACACATATCATAGTAAAAAAATCTGATAGGCAAAGAAAATGAGAAAATCTTAAAAGCTAGATGAAAATGATCTTTCATTTACAAAATTAAAAATATTAAGTGATATTATAACAGAAATAATATAGGCATATGACAGTCATATAATGTATTATAAATACTTAAAGAATGAAATGATCAACTAAGAATCATATATTCATGAAAGGTTTCTGTCAAAAATCAAGTGAATTTTTTTCTTTTTTTTTTTTTGAGACAGGGTTTCTCTGTAGCTTTGGAGCCTGACCTAGAACTAGATCTTGTAGACAGGTTGGCCTCAGACTCACAGAGATCCTCCTGCCTCTGCCTCTTGAGTGCTAGGGTTAAAGGCATGTGCCACCACTGCCTGGCTTCAGTGAAAAAAGTAATAGTATTATTCTTGTGTACAGATAGATTGACTTCATTACTACTAACATACTATCTTTCAAAAATATTAAGGGAAGTTTTAAGAATGGAAGCAAGTGATCCCAAACAATAATTCAAACCCATGCCAAAATTTAAAGTAGGAACAAAATAATTAGATAATTGTAAAAGTTAATAATAATGAATTTATTCCTGTACAGTCTCTTAAATAATTTGGAAATAATTGGATAAAACAGTATGCATCTAATTATTTTGTTGAGTCTGCAACATGGAGAAAGTAGTGCTATACTGGGTTAAGAGAATAACAGATGCTAATTTGGATTCTCAGAAACAAATCTGAAGACTTAAATGTGGTAAATAAGGAAAATGAGAATAAACTATATAGAAGTGATGTTTTATGGGGCTAGAGACACACTGATTTAAGAGTCCTTGTTGACTAGAGTTCAGATCCCAGCATCCATGTGCATACAAACTCGTCTTTATTCTATAGACGCTTGCAAGTCCAGAACGAAGGCGGTATCTAATGTTGACAGGAAGATCAGTGGGACATAATGGCTGCTAGCTTAGCTGAAAAACTTGGGGTCCAGGTTCAACAAGAGACCCTGTCTCAAAGTAAATAGGTGGAACATGATACAGGAGGCTGTTCGATGACCTGCTCTGGCCTCTCTGCACGCACAGGCATTCATAAACCATACACCCATACACCTCATACCCATATGTACCTCCCACATTGAAGTAAAAATATAAATATAAATATTAAAAAGACAAATTATTCTATTGCTATAATTATGTTACCAGAAATTCAAAGGAGATTCTGACAAATAAAGGAGAATAGGATGCAACTAGAGCATTAGTCAGCTAGAAATAGTAACATCATACTGATGTGCTCCAGAGCAGAAGTGAACCTTAGAAATGTTATGCTTTGTGAAAGAACCCTATTGCAGAAAATCAAATGTGATTATACCACTTAGGCAAAATGTTCAGAGTAGGCAAATTAAGAGAGAAAAATGTACATTAATGATCTTCTACGTCTGGC